CATATCCAATCGAATATCGTCGTGTAGCGCACAAATAAATGTCTGCAATGACATCTTTTCAAACTTCCTTATTTCTACTGATTCCAGGCAGATGAAAATGATAACCGTTGCCAGAAAACAGAAAAATACCAACACAAACAAGTGAAATTTCCGAAGCGTAAACAAAACGGGAACATTTTCTCAAAAGAAAAATTGATGTATTTTTCACAATACCTACCTTATCCTTCATAAAGCGTCCTTTGGTCTCTTTTGCACACGGTAAATGAAAATGAGTATCACAGGTGAGTTTATAGCAACGTATCGAAGCACCATTTTGGCCACACAGAGAGCAAGCTACAGTTGATGCACGACGCAGTGTCTCTTCAACATTGCTCAACGCACCACTTGAACTCTCGTACACCTAAAATTACGAATAGCGATCGTCGAATCATTTCTATAACTCAGTGAAATAAAATGCGTCCAATCACTATCCTAAAGCAATCAGTATGGAAACAACTTTCAATAACTTTCACTGGATTACATATGCAATTCATAATTGTTGATATGCTAGTTGAACACATTTATATCCTAATAAATCTCAAGCAAACATAACTACTAGAAACCAAAAAAAAAGAATTGATCGCTAAAAGAGTTGAACTGACCTCTTGTGACCAAATACAACAATTTACATGAACCCAAACATTAGCGTCGGCATTAATCAATCGTCCACACACATTAACCTCACCATCTCCACATCTACCGCACAACGCACACGAGCGTGTATCATCGATGCGATTCGCGTTTATCCCACGTGTTCTCTCCAGCGATTGCAACTGCGCTGCCATATGCTTCTGAACTCGATTTAAACATCAATAACTGAATAATATTGAAGATAATCCCACTGGAAGCTCGCTCCCAATAAAACAAGTAATACTCCAAAGGAATTCATGAAGAGAAACTGATTTGTGGTTGCCAACTGAGCACATCGGTACCGTTAAAAAATCATTTTCAGTAAAATTTCGCGGTATACCTGTCGAACTTGAGTGCTTAAACGATGGAAACTCTCGATTAGTGACGTATCGCACTGCATCCACATATGACCTTTCCATTTCTTCTCCAGATTTCGTTTCGTCGACGAGTCATTCAGCAACGACAACTCTCGCACATTGATCACCTTGAATCCATCACAATTATTCTTCCATTTAATAACTTTTTCATTCTTATCCATAAGACAAACACTTTATAACGTTTACAAACAAAAGCAAATATTTATATCGTATAAATGAATCCTAAAAATTATAGCATACAACTAATCTAAAGAATAATCCAAAGCAAGACGAGAAAATAAACGAAATCGATTACGAATACCTGGAGTTGATAGCGTGGATCGGTTTCAGTGACTGAGAATCGATAGTCAAGCATCGTTGAGGGTGTTGATGCGGGCGTTGTGGTCGCACATGCATCCGAAGCGCTCAGCTGTGATGTGCTCGACGACTCGGACTTTATCTGAAATCAATTTTTTTGGTTCAATTCGACCAGAAATACTTTCGAAGCAGAAAACTAGTGCTGTGCTCATGATCAGAGGGAAGTAGTTGGGCACCTTTCCGAGATGGAGACATTTGGCGAAATTATCGGCGCTAATCTGTCGCAATTTTGACACAACTGTTTCATCGACAAACCGTTCAGCGCGCTGAAATACGGCAAAAAACAATTGCAATTCATAACGAATGAAATTTCAGAATAATATTGTGGAAGTGCGAAAAACGGCCAATATCATCATTCATAAATGAAAAAGAATTTGCAAAATCGGTATGTTTCCAGAACACTTTCAGACGAATGCAACGAACATACCACAAGATCATCCGGCGATAGCGCCACCTTCGTGTTCGCAACAAATTTATAGTAGCACGCCATCGAGCAGAAATACACCTCTTCATCTTTCTGTTAAAGAAACACAATTTCAGAACAATGCAAAACATTTTTCCAACTTTCCAACTAGAATCTTCAAATTTGAAACGATACATTGCAAAAAGCTAAATAAAAGTTGCAGATATTACCTCGTTTTGTGACTCAATTTGAAGTTGTTTTGCTGACTGCCGGATGGTCGGTTCTTCCATTAGTGCTCCGCAATGAAGACACGTATGCAAATCATCTCGAGATGTCTCCTCAACTTTAATCCTCTTCAGACTCTCCAAAGAATCAGCTAAAACGAACAAATTCGAGAGCTTCGATGTAATGTGACAATAGAATGCCATTCATTACAGAAAAATAATGCATGCCCATTATCCGAAAATACTACAGCAAAAATTATCAATGTTTCAAATGAGTTTCATGAAATGAGTATTAACCGTAGAACTGAACAATTCACAAGCCACATAAATTCACGTAATTTAAGCAATCATCTCTTCATACTAATAAATTATCCTACTGCAATGTGTAGTACATCTTAAAAGTAGTAGCTTCTTATATTTGACACAAATACACTCAAAACCCTAAATTGTTGTCAACGATAATATGCAAATTATGATTATGTCAAAGAATGGAATACGACTGAAAACAGAACAAAATCAACTTAAAACCAACACTGCATTGTTGCTGGAAGTTCGGGTGTTCGAGGTGGAGTGTCGAGTTGGAATTCGGGTTTTGTGTTCACGTTAAGAATCGTCATGAGACGATCGAAAGTGACCGATGGATTTATCTCCTCTGAATCGCTACCCTCAACGATCAAGCTCACTGCGAATTGATTCTTCAGTTCTCGTCTCTTCAAAAAGGATTCAATCTTAACAACACTCATATAATATCAAACATTCATTTATGTATTATATCAAAGTCATTCGCTTCGAATATCTTCTTCATACCATAAACAAATAGTTCCAAATTCAAATACTGCAATTATTTCAAATACTGAGATCTTTATACCAAAGCGCTGCTTTTCACAGACCTTAAATACCCTTACGATAAACGTTATGAATAAACAGAAAGAAAGCAAACGAATAGAATTCAAAATTCTG